ACATATATATATATGTGTGTGTGTAGCATGCGTGTGAGTGTACGTGCGCGTGTGTTTATCGGTGGAAGACGCGGTATTATATAGCCAGGTACGTAAAAAACGCGTTCTCGCGGCATTCACTGTGAAGTTCACCGCCTAGACTGCAAGCCGCTGGAACTCTTGGTCTGTCGATTATATAATCCTTGACCAGCCCCTTTCTTGTAATTACTAGCTACGTGTGTATGTACGGGGAGCAATGTTAACAAGCTCTAATGCCTGGTGGCCTATACGAAATGTAGTGCGTAAGATGATATCGACAAGGAAGATTGCGTGGGCTTGACACTGTGGCATTAACGATAGCTTGATACCCCGTGAACGGTAATCAACGCATAATTCTCCGAAATTAGATAAAACGTGTACTCTATACGTGCATGTGTTGTTAATTCGTCGATGAGGCTGAATGAGCGAAATGACCGCGCTCGTGTTGCATGTTGGTGTCAGTACGTCCGAGCTGGACGTTCAGTTTACACGTTTACACGCTCGCTTGAACGCCACAAAATGTCGGCTTTGCGGCCCTTCATTGATGGGCATTACATTTAGAACGTGCTATCACAATGCTGATTGGTTAAAGCTACGTGGGAACAATCAGGGCAGACAAGACGTGTGATTCGAGGAGATATATGTCTGAATGTTTTACTCGAAAAATCGTTGACAGAATTCGTAACGAGATATCCGCGCGCGGCATCTTGGTAGTCGATGTTTAAAAAAAATTACAAAAGAATAATCACGTGAATTTCTTAAGGAGTCTCCTGATGGAACTCGATGATGGCGCGATACCATTTATCTTGGCAACACGAGTTCACTGTGCAACACAAGATCGCCTCATTCTGCTCCCTAACGGAACCTTCAAACACGTTCCGCTGTATTCACTTCGCACATCAAAGGTGAGGCAGCGCGGCTAACTCGAGTGCGCGGCCGCACAGCAATGTAAGCAATACCAGATTTTCATTCATTTGATGACATACGCTCGGCTTCACGCTTATCGCGTGGGACGTGTGCAGCACGGCATGTTCTCACGTCACGCGATGTACTCACATAATCGGTGCGTGCGCACTAAACATAATATCAGGATATATATAATATATATATATATATATATATATATATATATATATTGATGGTATTTCGAAGAGGTGTGCAAAGTTCAAGGGGGGGGGGATAGCGTTAAAGTCGATGATGTGTAGGCAGGCCGGTTGGCATGCACGCAGACGATAACGCTATTCTGAATGAAAGCTCGCTGAAATTAATCGCGATGGTGACGTCAGTGACACGTACACGAGCGAATGCGCAATGAACTCGCGCGGTTGTGGTGATGTTTTGGAAATGCAGGAAGAGCCACATTCTCATCCTGATACCAATTGCAATTGAGACCATTAACTGCAGTAAGTCGTATTATACACACCTGGGCATAAGCCAACGCTTAGCACGATGACTCACATTCGGTTTATTTCCAAGTAAATACACATACATGCACGGTGCCGAAATTGATGAGTGAATATCGGTTATCATTGATTGTTATTCACAAACCCAAAACGAATTTTACTAAAATTGGTAACAGATGAAAGTCTATGAGTCACGCGGTATCGCGTGTCATCTGGTTTTTAATAAAAAAAAGGTATTTTAATCAGAGAAGAACGAAATACGCGGAAAGTTTCACATTTCGAATTTACATATTTCATCTTACTTCTCTTTTTGAACGCACGTCTTACAGTATTGTGTAGGTTGTTTTATAGCACTTGCGACCAAGAAATATATACGTTTACCTGTAAATTTTAATTAATTGACAAAATAATGAGACGTCCATTCATCGGAGCATATGAGTAACTGATTGTAAAGAAATCTTAAATTTGATATTTAATATTGACTTGATTAAAAAAAACTATAAATCGAAATTCTCATTTGATGAAGTATGTTGCAGCGCGAAAAGTGATGGATATGCAAGTCTGCAGGCGTTCTCATTAGTCCTAAAATTAGTTACAGGTCTAATCTTTTTTCTGCAAAACGAATGTTAAAACATTCGCGGTTTTACCACAATCGTAAATCCTAGTAAACATGTCCATAGTAGATAGTATCATAGTCCTGATTTTAATCGTAACTGCACGTGGGCCTGTTCTGCGAACGCGTCGCCGTATAACATATCTGTATCTCTATCACTGCACGTCGCTCTGCGGCCTTTAAAAGAAATGAACCGCACAAACACAATCCACACGCTCAACATCGCACAATGCTCACGTTATCATCGGGCTAATCGATAAATATAGGCACCGGTCATATTCGCTGCATTTCTAGAGGGAATATGGAACCCCGTCGGGAAACAGACTACACAATAGCGTCGGGAATGCGTTACAAACAAGGTTGCAAAAGGTAACGATGACGGTAAACGAACGCGGATAATTAATATGCAACCTGTCGATAGAGTGCACGTGCCGGGTTCCCATCCCGCTTCACAAAATGGCGGCGGGACGTGCGCGCCCTCTAGCGGCGTGCGTCGAGGAGCGTGGCTCGGGCCTCCACCCCTGGAGGGTGGGGTGAGGGAGTGCGCGCGGTGGGTGGCGGTCGCGCATCATCCACGTGTTCGTTTGTGGGTGGGACAGTACTCGGCATACTCCTCCCACGTGCACCCGCGATCCTGTACGCAGCATTCCGTTACGATGTTATCTCGGTTCCTGTTTCTCGCGACGCGTCGTGTTGGAGTGCCTCTCGAACGTAGGAAGGAGTGGGCCCGCTTCGCCGTCAGTACTTCGTTGATATCTGAAACGCGCGATGTTTTAAGACAAAGCGTAGATGGTACGAATTTGGGGCTTCGGCAACCGTATAGAGATACCCAAGCAAAAAGACGGCCGGAGTTTATTTCCTATCTCGATAACAAATAATGTAATATATCTTTGAATGATATAAATTACAGCGCAACTGATATATATCTATATCTATATATATATATATATATACTATTCTACGTTTAGGCCACCTTTTTAGGTAAAAAAAAGTCGTTTTGTCAGATCAAATAAGTCAAAATACAGTGATACTGTTATACATGATATTAAAGTATTTTAAGAAAACTAAATGAAAACAAAACTCAACTTGTAATAATTTTTACTTTTATTATAAACTGTTGTTGTTTTTGTTTTTTACATTTACATTTTTTTTATTCATATTTCTTAGAGAAAAGGTCGGCGGGAATAAATAAATACAGATTTTCAATTTTTATTTTTTGTCGTTTTTCTTGAAAAATTGGGCCGGCGGATCTGTAAACCACCAAACTAAAAAAATCCCAAGCTAGTATACAAGTGTAAAATTCTCATTTACCATGTCAATACGTTATATACGTACGTATAAGCATCAAGAACTGGTTGAGTACATTAGTAGGACAATCTTATTGGCATCTAAGTAATTGAATTTCCCATCGAAACCTTGTCAGTAAATTGGATTACAGGCGTAAAAGTAAACGCTGATATACCATCAAGAAGAATCACGTTTCCATTTTTGATGGGAATCTAGACAACTTCACATGTACATGTCTGTTATTAGGCAAACATACCTTCTCACATTAGAGCCCTTTACCCTATACGCGTTACATGTTCTTAATCCTTTCCAGTGTCTTTGTCTCACCCTCGCGCGCGCTCTCACGCTCGCCCTTTCTCTCTGTCGCTCTATCGCGCGCTCTCTCTTTCTCTTTCTCTCTTTCCACCCCCTCTCTCTCTCTCTCTCTCTCTCTCTCTTTATCTCTTTATCTATCTACTTCTGTGCATCTACGTGCATGCGTGCGTTCATACGTGGGTGTACGCGTGCGTGCATGTTTGCGTGCCTGTATGTGTTGCGCGTACATGGGTGCATTCTTATGTGTGCGCATGCTTACGTGCGCGCACGCGTGTGTGTGCTTGTTGAAGCATTTAATTTAATTGAACATAAGAGCTCGACTATGTTTATGCTCAAGTGAATTGGGGGAAGACGATGAGAAGGGGGAGGAGGAGGAAGAAGCAGAGGAAGAGGAAGAAGGAGAAGGAGACGGAGAAGAAGACGTCGGAGGAAGAGAAGAAGAAGAATGAAGAGAAGAAGAAGAAGAATAGGAAAAAGGGAGGAACAGAAGGTAAAAGCAGATGAGGAGGGGAAGGACGACGACGACGACGACGAGGAAGGAGAGACTTACCGAAGACGCCGTCTTTGTGTATCATGAGAGGAATCCGAGACGCTAGGGAACTAGTACTGTTCTGCTCGACAGGAGAAGTTCGTTTTGTTATTCGGTATATGTCTTTTTTACAAGCAATACTGATATGAGGTCTGAGCTGATGCCAACAACGTCTGTACGTCTCCACGTGCCAAACACTTCGCCACTCGCTCTCTGTTCTGAAATGAGAAAGGTAGCGTGAAACTCGACTCGCCGAATTATCAGTCCTTGACGCATACGTTCCATTGTGAAATCGAAGAAGAACGTGGGTAGTGGAACGTAGGCGACAATTCATAAAGAGCACAGACCACTTATGTTCTCCTGTTATTCTGTTGTTGTTTTTTTCATGTTCGCTTCTTATATCGCGTTCGCCATACCCTGGTTCGCACACAGTAATTGTGATGTTGACGTTGCAGGTATAACGTAGCCGATGATAATGATACTCGTTTACACTTGTGATAACGAGGATCGTTCATTATCTTTCCCGTCGACGCGGTCATGGTTATCTCACCTGGCTTGGAACATCTGATGAAGCTCGCGTAGGTTGTCGCTTCCTCCCGAGTGCTGTATTCGGCTGCAGTCGGCAGCCAGTGAGAGCAGGATTAGAAGGCCGAGCCAATACGTCGCCGACAAACTCGAGCGAAACGCGACCACCTGCAACACACACGCACAAAGACTGCTGAAAATTTACTGACTCGTACGACTCTTTACCGCCGTAGAGTGAAAATAGCATGGCCCGTTAGCTCGCCGCCTACGCTAGAGGGCAATGCAAAAGCGCGACGATTATGCGACTTTTATTACTTGTTTACTTTATTACGTTTATCCACCGGAAGGAAAGTGTTTGACTGTAACAGCGAATCGTGGAAAAGGTAGTGCGATGTACATATTATAATACGTACACCACCGATTTTCCGGCATTCTTGCTTCCAAAGGCTTGCCAGATTAACCATTTTGGCGGGCCAACAGAGGTCACGAAATAATAATTTAACAATATACCTCACACCTCCATAATTATACACCTATCATGTTTCTAAAGCACCATAGACTGCTACAAACGTAGAGGTACCAATGAAACGATGGATGGATCGATATAGACTGGTATTTACGCTTGACACCATCTCTGACATTTGCATCTCTCGTAGAAGCTATAGTTATAGGGTTAAATATGAGGCAAAATAGGCTAAGAATGTCACACAATCGATGGCTCACCCCAACAAGTGCAGTGTAAGCAATAAAAATAAGGTAGCGCGTAATTTTGGCCGAACTAAAAAGAGGTGCCGGACCATCATCTGCCGAAAAATCAATGGTGTACCTGTATGTATATATATCAGGTGTCGATAATAGGGAATTCCCTATTATCTACTCCTGATATATATGTATGTATGTATGTTTGTATGTATGTATATATATATATATATGTATGTATGTATGTATGTATGTATGTATGTATATATATATATATATATATACTA